CCCCACGACCCTAGTGAGGATTAAGCGGTGTATAGATAATGGATGGATGGATAATAATGATGATGTTAATTCTGATAATGATAATAATGATGATGATGGTAATCATTACCTCTCGCTCACTGATTATTTCCTATAAGTGTGCATTTATGTTCTGTGTTTAGAAGAAGCTCACTCGGTTTCTGCTGCTTTGGGTAGGAGGTGTAGTAGAAGTGCTTGTAGTTGTAGTAGTAGATGTAGTTGTTGTAGCAGTGGTTGTAGTAGTAGTAACAACAATAATTGTTGTCATAGTATTAGTTGTAGTAGTAAAAGTTGACAGTTGTTGTAGTAGTCGTAGTACTTGTGGTAGTATGAATAGCAGTAGTAGCTGCAGTAGTAGTCATAGTTGTCATTGTTGTAGTAGCTCTAGCTGGAGTATTTGTAATTAGAAGGAGTAGTAATAGCAGTAGTAGTAGTAATAGTTATAGTCGTTGTAGATGGAGTAGTGCTAATAGCAGTAGTTGTAGCAGTAATAGTTGTAGTAGAAGTAGCAGTAACTGTAGTAGCAGTTGTAGTAATTGTTGTAGTTGTAGCTAACTAACAGTAGAGGTGTTTGTGTTCTAGTTTGTTAAACTGTTCTCATTAGAACACAGACTCTCAGTTCTGCAACAGGAACACTAACAGCAGAGATCTTTGTGTTCTAACATGTTAAACTGTTCTTAGTAGAACACAGAGTCTCAGTTCTGGAACAGGAACACTAACAGCAGAGATCTTTGTGTTCTAACATGTTAAACTGTTCTTAGTAGAACACAGAGTCTCAGTTCTGGAACAGAAACACTAACAGCAGAGATCTTTGTGTTTGTGTCTCCCAGATGAACATCATCGCCGGAGGGTTCTACGACGGTCTGATGCTCTACACTCACGCTCTAAATGAGACCATGTCAGCGTCCGGTGGTCGTCCTCCGGGAAAAGTGGTGACAAAGCGGATGTGGAACCGAACGTTCCATGGTCAGTAAGTCTGATGTTTGTCTGTTGGGTTTCTCTATATTTCTACTGCTGAGTCTTTCAGGTTTTTGCCTCTTTTTAAAGTTCTTCTGCATCATTCCATCTCAAATCATCACATTTTTACAAAAATTTTTGTTCAACCATCTCTGATTTGTTTAAAACTTCATTATCACAAACTACAGATATTTTAAATTGTACTTTTGAAATTTCGGATTCAAATATCAAATCCTTTTCGAGGTAAAATGTTTTTTGTTTTTTGCACATTGAAGTTTGAGACTGGATGGCAACACCTCAGTACCTATTTCAGATGAAAACCTGAAGTTTTCGCTGTTATTTCTCAATAGGTCATTAATTCAGAATCTGCATTATGGACAAGTAGATCAAATTATAAAATAAGCTGAATCTCACTGTAACACAAAACAAATCATATAGAATATTTTTCCACCAAAATGGAAAAAAAAGTTGCTTTTGTTGCACTTTCATAACTGACTGAGCAGGTATGACATGTTGTACGACAAAAACAAAAAAACTGAATTTGTTATTACAATAACTGGTATTGAACCAGGTTCAAATGTGGTTTGGATACGATTCATGAAAACAAGGTGTGTTCATGGTAAATCTACCGTGAAAAACAACATTTTTGTATTTTAATGGTGTATCTATAGAAAAAACAAACAAACATAATTTTCTGTTTTGCAATAGTAACTTTAGATGTGTTTTTGTTTGTTTGTTTTAAAAGGAGATGCAGTGGCGATTCTAGGATTTATTTTTAGGGGGGGCCAACAGGGGGCCAATGCTATATTTTGGGGGGCACCTAAATACTGCGTTATTCGTAGATGTAACCTACAGCAATTTCTCGAGACGTGTTCTTTACTTGTACTCACATTGTATGACTAAATATAGACCTAACCTGATTAAATAGATCTAACAAAATAAACATGATCTGGAAAAGGTTTCTGGTCAGAACATACTTGTACAATATGGAATGTACAATCACTGCTTCTTTCAAAAGCAACTCATGACACTCAAACGGATTCACAGTGAAGACTCATGTTTACAACAGGCTGATGGCTCAATGTAAATTAAAATGATGCATACATGTACATACACACATAAACACAATGCTCTCCTCTTTTATATTAACAATGTTGATCTTCAATTGCTCTGAGGAGTCTGTCCTGCTCTGTGTTTCACCTGGTGCTGCTGATGGGCTACAGCTGCTGGACCGGTCCTGCTTTGGATGCCTGTCCTCAGAACTGTCCCCCTGAACCTGTCTGGTTCACTGGTCTGACCCTCACATGGCTTCTTTTTAACTCTATTCAGGACTTTTGGGGTCTTTTGGACCCCAGGCCATTTGGTTTAGGTGACAGGTATTGTTTTTTGATTTTTAAAGATTTTATTTTTAAATATTAAAAAGAGGGGCATGTCATGCATTTCAATTCAATTCAATTCAATTTTATTTGTATAGTGCATATTTACTACAACAAGTCATCTCATAGTGCTCCATTTGGAGCCAAACATACGTCAACTTATCAGAAAATGTATTTAACATTGCACAAAAGTTTGTAATGAATACCAACAATTATTTTGCACATATTCTTTCTTGGGGTCCAATGGACTCCCAAAGACCTTCTATGTATGGCAACATGAAGTCCTGAATAGGGTTCAGATAACTAACCATGCTGGCTGCTCCTCTTTCTGACATTTCTGAGCCCTGATGCTGCTGTAACGGAGACTAAATGACACCATTCAGTTGTAACTCAAACTTGGGATTGGGAATGCCCTGGCTGCTCCCAATACATCTCTGTGTAAAGTGTCTTCATTTAACATCAGCACATTTTCCTTGTTTCAAAAAAGAAAAACAAAACAACGAAAATAACACACCGTAGCATGATTTCGTGTCATATAATCATTAATGCAGGAACCCCTTGACGGTTATTTACCATCTAGTTGGCATGTTTCATCAGCTTCTCTAACTAATAACATCAACTTTTTGTCATCAAAATGTTAAATGATGAACTAAACATAATGGGTAAATCTACGAGTTAAGCTAAAACATATCAGTAACTCGTTTGTGTTCAATTTACTGCACATTTGTATTTGACACTCACCGTCTCAGAGTGTCCGTAATTTCAGAGTGGAAGTGAGAGAAGAGGTGTGCTTGTTTTATTTTACAGCCGCTCCCATCACAAGCACTACCACAATACTCTGTTCACCCCGCCCCCATGAAGCTGCTCTGTAACGACAGGCTAGCGCTCCTCAAAGAAACTACCCAATCACAAGACAGTATTTCACCAGCGGTCCGAGAGGGGGCCAATCCGCTTCCAGCAGGGGCCATGGCTCCTGTGGCCCCTCCTCTCCGTTCGCCTATGGGGAGATGAAGACGAGAGGTTTTGTTGATGTTTATGTTGGTGGTATTGTTGGTGTTGCTGCTGTTGTTAGTGCAATCCGTGTTGCTGGTTTTGTTGGTGTTGTGGATGTTCTTTGTTGGTATTTCTGAGGTTGTTGGTATTTGTGGTTTTGTTGGTGCTATTTTTTTGTTGTTGTTTATGGAGTTGTTGGTGTTGCGGGTATTGTTGGTGTTCTTACTGTTGTTGCTGGTGTTGCTGGTTTTGTTAGTGTTGCTGGTAGTGTTGGTGTTCTTGGTGTTCTTGGTGTTGCTGGTAGTGTTGTTGTTGACTGTGAAGCAGGTCCGTGTGGATCTGAGCACTGGTGAAGCTGATGAGAGGATTTGTTCATTTCAACTCGCACTCAGAATTAAACTTCCGCTGGAGGTTTAAGGTGCTCTGAAGAGGCGGACCTCTAAATGAATCCTCGCCACCTGAGGATTTTGACACCCACTCGTACGAAATGACTGCTGACACCGAGGTCAGACTCATTACAGGATGCTGTGGAGGGCATCATGTGTGAGGACTCTGTGGATTTTACCAGTGAGAGGAAAGTGTTTGTTGCTTCATTATGTATCATTCGTTCTGCTCGGGCTTTCGGCTGCATTCAGCCGATCTGAAGGGAAGTCTGTTAAAAAGCAGAGCAGACATGTTCATCCACACGTGTAAGGCTGTACATACAGTCGTCCTCAAATGTATTCATATCCTTCCATTAAAGAAAGGGCAAAAATCACAACAGTCACTCAAATAACTAGAAACTGAAAAAAGTGATCAGAAATAAAAAGTTGCTAAATTATAATTTAATGAAATAAGACATTGCTTTTGAATTGTGTTTGAAAAGAATAATTTTAAAAAAACGAAACTGTCCCAGACAAATTAGAGCACTTTGCTGATGAGCAGTGGACCAAAATCAAAATACCTGTCAACAGGTGCAGAAGTTTGATTGAGAGTTACAGAAAACACTTGACTGCAGTGATTGGCTCAAAGGGTTGTTCAAAAACATATTAGTTTATGGGTCCCATCATGCTTGTTTATTTGTTTGTTTGTTTGTTTTTTATGTTTCTGTTGAACCACTATTCAAAAGCAATGTCATGATTTTCATTAAATTTTTATTTATTATTACTTTTGTCACTTTCAACTTATTTCAGTGACAGCTGTTTTATTTTCTTCTCTAATGGAAGGGTATGAATACATTTGAGGACGACTTTAACTTTATGTTCAGTGTGTTGCAACAAGATAATATTCGTTCAAGCCACAACATTTTCCTGAATCAACATTGATTTTGTGGCATTCTTATTTTCCAACAGCAGATCTGAACACTCTTCTTCTAGAAGGCAAATAACATATTCAGTCCTTTAATTTATAAACATGCATTCTGTTTTTTACTGCCTCCCTGATTACTTTGCATTTTTGCATATTTATTGTGCCCGCCGAACCCCTCAGAATCAGCTGTTTTTTAAAAAAAAACAAAAAAACATTTACAATAACTTTAATATATTTAATGAAGCTATGTAATGTTTTACCTTCATACTATTAATATTTTCAGAGTTAGAGGCCCTTGAAGTACATTTGAGGGTCTAAACTTCACGTTTTTTATTTTACTTTTTCTATAATTTGCGAGCCTCGTAACTTTATAAGTACAGGAGATAGAAACATGAAGTTTTCTTTTAAGAACTGCAACCAAATCAATTTTACATTCCCTCCAGGTGTCACCATCTAAACACCTAATCTGATTGTCTTTTTCTAAAACGAACTTTGAGCATCACTATCATGGGATATGCTGTAGTTTCAACTACAGCAGTGTATGTAATCTGTGACTTAGAGTCATAGAAACAAGCACTGGTACCCTGGATGCGCTTTCTTTTTTTCTAGTAATTCACCATAAAAAAACTTTAAAAAGTACATTATTAGTAAACTTTCAAGGCTCATATCAGCATGTGGGATAGAAGGGTGGTCAGAACAAGTTAAAGCAAATGAAAGGTCTCATTTCTACCTGCATTTGATACCAGATACCATCTTCTAGACATGATTCCTTCGGTGTTGTGTAGAATGGTCTGACTGCACATCACTCTCGTTAGGCTCCGCCTGTGATGATTGTTTCTTTATGATTATGATTCTTCAATACATTTATACATAAACACTGAAATATGAGGTGCAGCAGACCATTCTACGTAGTGCTGACACAGCTGTTGATAATGGATGCGTGAGACTGCGTTGGTGTTTCCAGACTTTTGCCCTCAGAGCTGAGTCTGGCTGCTGCTGCCCTCATTGTGCCGCATTTCCCTCCTTGCAGAGCTTATCTTAAAGCTCATGTCTGTGACGCTGAACTCTCCGCTAACATCAGTTTTCTGGGCAACCTCTCAGGAATGTACAACATGTTCTGCTCTGATATCAGCGCAGCAGGAAGCGAAAACTCATTTGTCTTTAGCTGCTGGAAACAGAAGGTCTGAATCCCGAAGCGACCCATTTCAGCTCAAAGATCAGGGTGTAAGGACGGCAGCTGTTAGACACTGAGGTGCAAACACACCAAAATTGTGCGTCTTTGTTATAGTAAAGGAAACGTTGAATAAAGGATATGGATGAAGATGTTTCTCGTAAAGAGAGAAGCAGTGATAA